GATACAAAAAATGTACCGGCATGTACAAAGCAATGCTTTTGATTTCTGTTGCTATGGCGAGTGTTGTCCATCCATGAAGCAGTACAGGTAGAAACTGTAACAATATCCCTCACACACTCTCTATTTTTCATTTGATGAACTCGACCTTAATCCTTGATTTAAACTTGACAATGGGAAGTAACTGCTTAATTACAATACAAGAATACCAGTATGTCCATAGGAGCTTAATTAAAACTCAATGTCGATTAAACAAAACAACACGTCACCCGTCATTTACATGAAGGGGTGTGATTTTCTCCATCGAATAATTCATTACTATTGAATCATATGTCGTTGTCGTTTGCATGAACAATATGTTACCAACGTGATCATAGTTGAATGTGATTTTTGCGTACATTCGATGCCATTCCATCGAAACGTCTCGTCATTTATTGCCCCGCGGCGCTATATTATCACTTGGTGAGAAAGTCACACTCGTTGCGTACTTTCTGTTACCTTTATTTAAAAATAGCACAACAATGATAATTTTTGTTCTAATGTTCTTTAATCTGCTCCATACATGTACATAAATAAACTACAGTGAGACCTCTGTGTTCCCGCTATCTCGAGTTGAGACCTCTGTGTTCCCTCTATCTCGATTTGATAATGATCTGTAGACATAATAATGGTGCAATTCTCATTATCATTATAACTTATGGTTAGGTGGCATAGAGGAACAGGAAGCCAAATGGTACTGTATTTGATATTGAAGACTTTGGTTATTCTGTCTCCTGTTTGGTCTAATTGGAAAGTCAAATATAAACTGTCATAATAAACATCAAAGTCCTACAGCCAACTCCAGACTTGTCCGAGAAATCGTGAGAAGATAAGCTCACCAGAGAGTTTTTGATTACGTCACTTCCATCTACAATTCCCCAGGCTTATAAGTTTTTCCTATAAAGTCTCACGTGATCGCGGGTACACAGAGGCTAATATTAATTGCATACTTTGTTTGTGACCATCATGACCCATGACTTCATATTTATCACATGATATGACATGTTGTACATATATACGTAACAAAACAAGATTCTAGTTTACTGACGTCAGTTCCGTTCCAATGACGCCAGTTCCGTTTTGACTACTTCCGGTACAGTTCTTCAAACAAACACATGTAGTAATACACCAAGAGTGGATTTGTTTATATTTCACATCGATACAGTTGGACGCATGGAACACAACTCTTTTCAGTTTAAATGACTTCATGCATTAATATCGCGACTTCAAGTCATAATTACGAACAGAAACTTTTGATGATTAAACCATTAAAAAACTATTTCAATGAAGTTTAGATCAACACTTGAAAATTCAAATCCAACAAAACAGTCTGAATTTGGTTAATGTATAAATACTGAAATAGTTTTCGAGGAATAAAATTATCTTATATATTGGATAATAAAATATCGCAGACTTTATGAAAGACAACATTTTGTAGAGATGTAAGAGCCCGCCCACAATGGGCGTGGTCTAAACTGGGCGTGTCTATGATTGACGCTTCTATCAGGGGAGTGTTGTATATGATTTCCATTAAAATATGTAGAAAAAGTCTATGGTGCATACGTCTAAGGAAAGTGATACAATGTGACATATATATAATATCAATGAAGACTGTACATAGTAAGGGCTTCTTCCAGTTTTTAATATTTCTTATTGTTTCAAAATACTGTCGTCAATTTGTCCGTTATGCGATTATCTCCCTTGCATGGTAATCCTTTCGGTACGAAGTGGGAGTATACACGAAGTATCATGAAATGTTCACCCTATCACATCCATTATTATTGCTTAAAAATGAAAATGAACTCATTAACCTGCTCAAAACCAGACATGGATAATAGTTCTATAACTGAAAACGGCAAAATTATAAGTATGCACTAAACGAAAACGGAAACATTTTTACGTCCGGTATAAGTTATTTCATAGATAAATAAGAAACCCAAATAACCATGTTTTTTTTCATAAAAATGATTTATACGTGTAACGTATGAATATATATAGGATGTCAATATGGTAAATTCTGTACACAAGGCTTGTACTATTGATATAAGAGGAATGTATCGTTATATTCTGACAACATTTACAATACCGATATTGCTATGTTGAATAAATATCATAATAACGACGTGATCATAAATTAATGTAATCAAGCCTTGTTCATGATGCGGAACACAACAAATAACAAATAATCTAGGAAAATAAATTGATCATTTACGTACCTTTTAGCACTTAGAAAAGCAAACTGTTTTATCAGTTAAAAAATTTAACAAGCGAAAGCAAAGATGTTTTAAAGACAGCTGTATAACAACAGTATAAATTAATTTAACATGATACTATTAAAAACCATTCAAGAAATACCAGAATTCGAAGTTCAGTCAAGCGCACAAAGTAAATACGCATAACTGAGTAAAGCAAATACATGAAAACAGACCCTGCAAATATTACTTACAAATTGCATAACAGTTTTGTTATTATATTCAACCATCACAATAATGCGCACGTGGAGGAAACGCCTCTCCGGAAGCAACATCTAGTCACATCTTGCTCATGGTCGTATCTAAGGGATGCCGACAGAAGCCAATGAGGCTAGGTTTAGACGAGTATTTGACCATGGTTATCGAATGCAAACGAACAGTTAGTAGTTGTTATCAACTGTGTGGACGAGGAAACCAATTACAGCTTTACCGATTATGGGCGAGGAATATTCCAATGTCAAAAACTTTATACAGCAAAGCAGTTTCCCTTTACAAAACGTTAGGGAAGCGATGAAGTGATGGGTAGCTGTGTGTCTATACGGTCAACTAGTACTCTAGATTCACTCGAACACAAATCTGTTCTTGTTTATATAATCTTCTATCTCAATAGTCGAAAAGATAGAAGACATTTTACACGTATGTTGCAGGTATGTGTATTCCAGAACTATTCTCACACTGCTCAGTTAGATGTCCCTGGATGCGTACGGTTTCTGGTGTCACATAGCCATTTCAGTTACGATCCATATGCTCTTCGTGTCAGAAATATTTAAGAAGTGTTGGAAATTCATATAATAACACTTTTTGAGGCGATCATGCCCACCACACATGTGTACACTACTTGTGTGTTCTTTCACGCACACATCCACCCACACACACATACACTAAACATCCAAAGTAAAAAGCCAGCCTCTCGTACATCCCTCGGTCTAACATTATACCATCTTTGATCCGATAATAGTCGCCCCAGGGAACGTTATTTCAGTTCAGTGATTTACTCCTTCTGTTGGCACTTTCCTCAAACGACACCAGTAGGAAGGCAAGGATGACATAATTGGCTTCTCACGTGTGACACAAATAACACAAATAAGAAATTTACTCGTTCGTTATAAAAACAGCAGAGAAGAAATATTATTTTTCGTAGAAAGTTGTCTGTCATTTGTAGCTTTAACAAGAACTGCGCACACTTATTGACATGGTGATGATGATGATAACAGAACGACCGGAAGTTATATGGCCCTGCGATATTATTGCTGCTACGTCTACATATACATTAAACAATTGGTGATATTTACACTTCCTCAATACTACCTGTAATTTGATTGGTCCGTGAGGTGTGTCAGCACCTGTTTGATTGGTCCGTGGAGCGCCAGTGGCCACCCTTTCATTAATTCGTACACAAGGGTAGTTGTATTGGCGTTCGTGTGAATAGTTTGTGGCCAAGCGATTTCTGGGGTTTCGACTTCTTTTTGCTACCTGATGACACTTGGCGAAGTTTGAGAATTTGACTCCGGCAAATGACGCACCGGAGTGGCAGTGACCTCTGCGCAATCGCTGTCTGAATGGTCTTGACAAAGCACTTCCGGCACACGACCTTGTGCTCGCATGGGTAGGTCTGCATCGTTGCCTTGGCAGCCATACATATCACACACTGTAATGTATGAACGTTATAATTACATATACGGGATACTTAGATGTGACATCAAAGGCAAACTAGATTGGAAGAAAATGGATTTTGAGGAGAAAAAAACAGACATTTCTTTCTAACTGCCGTCAATGACAGACAAGCAATTCTGTTGTACCTTCGTAAAATCAGTTGGCGACACTGAAGACTCAGTGATCCAGTCGGTATTAAATCTCGTTACTTGATTTGCTGCCACTTCAGTTTTGAAAGGGAAATACTATTCAGTTTAGTTTGAAGGATATGACTTATATATTACTAAAGATATCTCCCCTCGTTGAGTCGGTAGAAAGCGACCATTTTTGCCTTGTGGGCAGCAGGCTTTATTGACTTCAAATATAAATAAACACTGGCTTAGACACACATCGAAATGTTTGTAATGTCTAATCTAGGTATTTTTACGATTCGATTCTGAGGTAGAAGATAAAGTCGACAGTGGACCAAAGAATGTCTTGTGGGAGACAAAATATCACTTGATTAAAACACAATATCATGTACCTCTGGGTCAGTGTGGGAAGAGGTGAGTCCGTATTCCGCCATGATCATTGTGTGTCTTAAATTATATATACCTCAAGTGATATTTATTTTCTGGGGCTTCAAATTCATCTGGTTTATCACCAGCTAATAGACCGTGCGACTGAAAAAGGTTGCGACTTAGATTCTGCTTTGATTTTTATTTGTGGATCATACTCATTGTTTGTGACATATAGATCTACTTTCGGGACAATACAACACCATGTATAAGAGGAGTCATGTATAGGTTGTGTGATGTGTACTACGTCATCGGCGTACTACAGGTAAGAATACATACATCTCATGTAAACAACAATTGTGTGTGTCCGCGGATTTTGTGACTAACATATTTCATTGTGATATAAATTCTAATTAAACGTAGACAGATATAGAAACGTGTGTATTTCCTATATCGTCAGCATCTGACATAGTCTATCATGTATTTTACTAACCTCTTCGTCTTCTTTCGGAATCTTCGTATTGCTGTGTTCGTGGTCGTCTATCTTCGCCAACAACTTGTCCTGTAAAACAAGGGTAAAGTACATCTTTGATTTACATGTATCAAGGCCATTTTAAAAGAAACAAGTTGAGAACTGAATCTCAGGAAAACATAGAACAGCTTCTATAGCGGAATTACAAAATCAGAATTCAATGTAGACATTCAAATGTTGTCATAGAAACATGAAGATAACTATACAAAAACATTATATCGGTATTTATAGAACTATAAATGACAGCTCCGTGCCGAATCTGACGGTGTAACTTTATCAAGAAATCTGGAAAAAAACTGGATATGTTGGCAGGCATAATTTGAATTTAAGTTAGATGATTAAATGGGTTTGAGATTATCGAGGCGTTAGCTAAGCTTGGGGATTACTTATTACACTTATGTCATTATATATAGTAGTAACAAGCATGTCGCGTGATCTTAAAAACCAATTATTGCGAGACAAGCAATAGATTATATCGACATGTCTATCTATCCAGTTTACTGACATTGCACTATACGTATTTATCTTAACGAACCGTTGATTATAGAAAATTAAGATTCGTATTAAGATGTTGCACTACGTCCTGATCTGGTAAAGAAGAAAATGTGCATAATGATCATGTACTTTGATGTTTGTACAAAAGCCTGATCGTACAGAGCTTAAATACCCCCACCCACACCCCACCCCATTCACTCCTTCCCTCCCTCCCGTGACAGAATATACCGAATAGAGCTTTAATACATGCACCTTAAGCCCCCTCCCTCCCGTGACAGACTATATCGTATAGAGCTTTAAAAGTACCCCCTCCCTCCCTCCCTCCAACCCTCCCGTCACAGGATATACCGTACAGAGGTTAAAATGATATAGCTTCCCACACCCGTCCCTCGTTATCCGGCTCTGTCGATAACATGTTAGATGTCTGCACGTATGTCTAATCCCGTCCCTCGGTATACCATGAATATCATAATCTGCTTTATTGATACACGTACGCCCCTCCCTCTCGTCCGATGATATTCTGTAAAGAAGATAAAGTACTTTATAACGGTTATGTTCCGTCTAGTTCCTGATATCTTCAAAAACAAGATAAAATCCTTTTTTCTTGTCTTGTAAAGAGAATGCATTGCATATCGCGTTATGATTATGTCCAAGCCAGTCACAAGATATCAGGTAGACAGGACATACAGCTTTATGGTCATCCTACGTCCCTCCAGTCAACTGCTATATATGATAAACAGTGTCGTATTCCCCGTTCCGGAGAGCTGGCATGAATTAGAGCAGCGTCTCAGCAATACAACGAATTGGCAATGTCCTTAGACGTTTGTTTCCTAAAGGAGCATGTTCACTTGTTATTGGAGAACATGTGGCTTTTCTATTGATCTTCAAAGAATTAACACGATACAGAATCATGGTACTAAGCGAGATGTGGCAGACTCCACGTGTACAAAACACGAAAAATAGTACAAAGACCTGATACGATGGCGTAGCCATTCACGTGTACAAAACACGAGAATCGGAACGATGACGTCATGGGATGGTGTAGCCATTCACGTGTACAAAAAACAGACTTTCCTGGATTAATTTCAATCTATATTCTTTATCTTCATATGAAACCCTTTTTCCTAAATCTTCCTATTGTACATGTAAGTAACCATGAACTCAAACTACCAGTGGAGATACATGTTTATCTCTGTTCAGATTTCTGATGCCTTTGAACGCTGCTTTACCATCAATTCTGGTTTTACTTATTATTATTCTGTCCACAAATACCATTTATTACCAATATACTGACTGTTATGAAAAAAATCGCGGATGCTTTCGAACAGTTGATTGTATTCGATTGAAAATCTGTTTGAGGAAAGAATACAAATAACGTAGTTTAGAATAGGAGAAAAGGACAACAGAAAAAATGTTATCCGACTTGGAAAATTAGGTTTCCTGACACAAGTAAAGGAATGATGGTTGTTTTGAGAACTACATCGATCAGAATCTAACGAATTGTACATATAACAAATACCTTCTTTTACTTTTATCTGTGCAAGAGTAGTTTTGCCTTTTTCCCACTTCGCACTTTTCCTTATCTTCGTGTATTTGCCTTTAGCTTTAGAGGTTTACAAGATTTTAAAAAAACTCTATCAAGCATTATATTTCGATGTTATCATTTCACGAGAGCTCATTGTCGCATGAGTTCGAAATCGAAACAAAAAATTGAAAATGTAAGTTGTTTTGTTCGTGGAGAAATCGAGTTAGTTTTGTTCGTGGAGAAATCGAGTTAGTTTTGTTCGTGGAGAAATCGAGTTAGTTTTGTTCGTGGAGAAATCGAGTTAGTTTTGTTCGTGGAGAAATCGAGTTAGTTTTGTTCGTGGAGAAATCGAGTTAGTTTTGTTCGTGGAGAAATCGAGTTAGTTTTGTTCGTGGAGAAATCGAGTTAGTTTTGTTCGTGGAGAAATCGAGTTAGTTTTGTTCGTGGAGAAATCGAGTTAGTTTTGTTCGTGGAGAAATCGAGTTAGTTTTGTTCGTGGAGAAATCGAGTTAGTTTTGTTCGTGGAGAAATCGAGTTAGTTTTGTTCGTGGAGAAATCGAGTTAGTTTTGTTCGTGGAGAAATCGAGTTAGTTTTGTTCGTGGAGAAATCGAGTTAGTTTTGTTCGTGGAGAAATCGAGTTAGTTTTGTTCGTGGAGAAATCGAGTTAGTTTTGTTCGTGGAGAAATCGAGTTAGTTTTGTTCGTGGAGAAATCGAGTTAGTTTTGTTCGTGGAGAAATCGAGTTAGTTTTGTTCGTGGAGAAATCGAGTTAGTTTTGTTCGTGGAGAAATCGAGTTAGTTTTGTTCGTGGAGAAATCGAGTTAGTTTTGTTCGTGGAGAAATCGAGTTAGTTTTGTTCGTGGAGAAATCGAGTTAGTTTTGTTCGTGGAGAAATCGAGTTAGTTTTGTTCGTGGAGAAATCGAGTTAGTTTTGTTCGTGGAGAAATCGAGTTAGTTTTGTTCGTGGAGAAATCGAGTTAGTTTTGTTCGTGGAGAAATCGAGTTAGTTTTGTTCGTGGAGAAATCGAGTTAGTTTTGTTCAAAGCAGAGTTTTCTTAGGGTTGTCTCTCTTGTCTATGTCGTTCGGCGAAGGCACGATGTTTTGCCATCAAACACATGTTACATTTGTCACGTTGAGGCAAATCTACGGTCACGTGACTGCCAAAGGCTGATTGCTTATTTCCTTAACATGGCGAGTAAACAATCAGAAAATTGGACCGGTACGGTCACATAATCACTTCAATACTGACGATGATGGTCTTTGACCGGAAATCGATTTTTGAAACAGGAAGTGACTATTGATGCCAACTGTGGCCTCCATTATTTTCCTCTTTAACGAACTATTTCCATCCCTTTAATGCGGGAGAACTGTGGTTATTTCCTGTACCTGTACGTTGTTGTAAACCGTCAGAGTTATTATTGTTATGACTAGTGATTATCAAACCAGGCATCTTCCTCTGTGGTTGATCAATGGAACAGTAACAGAAGATTCTAAATATCAATAAAATTGGGGAATTTATTATAGTTTTGCAATAATTTTGCAATGACTTTCGGTTTCTTTTACTTTCAAATTGTTATCTCAACAAGAGAGAACTAATAAATAATCAAAGGGTGTGTTTTATGTTCAGTTATTGATCAATCTTTGACAGAAACGTATGTTGATGAAGAATGCCAAACGACATCACTGTCAGAGGACATAAATTGCTGAGGGGTGACAAAGGCACAAGTGTGAGACGAAAATTGCTGATGACAAAGGGAGCTGAATGATACATGTGACAGTGACACTCTAGTGATAAAGAGGTGCACCGAACGTTGATGAGTGATCGGCTGGCGCCTTTCATCTGGACGTCCCGGGTTCGTTTCCCCGAGCGGATATGAAAAGGAATTGGGGTCATCTGAACGGCCACGTGAGTTTTTTGCTGGTATTCCGATTTCCTCGTACCGTAAGACCTCTCGACGCTTCAATCCGAACCAAAAAAGGCGATTTATTTGAGCTGACTTGTTTTTCAATTGTTGTAAAACGACTAAAGCGTATAATCATATTTATGCAGCATATACATGATGTCCATCCCTGGTTCATGGTAATAAACAAGAGTAAAAATAAAGACAACACTTTAATGTCAAATTGATATTCTTTGTGCTGCGATAGCATCACAATTGCATTGGTTAGTTTTTGCTTACATCATGAATACGATGCCAAAAACGTCATCGTTGTCTTAATTTCTTCACTCCAGCCGTAAAATTATTTTAGCTTCAGTGTTCCTATCAACTGAAGAACATAATTGAGATTCGAGAGATGCAGGATAACGACTATTGGTAAGTTTTATGGTCGATCTCAGGAAGTCATCGGGATAAACCCTGCTTTCTTGAGCCTTTTTTGTGGCTGGTTTTTTTGTTTTCTAACCCTGGTTCTCCTTTGGACACATGTATTTCTTTCTTGGGTTGACAAAGATTAACAGTTTGGGTGTCGTCGATGAAGCAGAAGACGCTTACCATTTCGGAACATCTGGGCTGATTCCCCTTGTAAATCTTTTTTCGTTAATACATGTATTTTGGGCAGACATTAGTTTTAAACGTGGGACCTAAGATAAAGACTGTGAAAAGAATAGCCATTTCTCCTTAAACAAGTACAAATGTATTCTGAAAGTCGTGACATATAACACTGAACTGAAACAATTAATGTAATCAGTTACGATGGATACCAAAATGTTTGGTTGTTATTGGTCAGCTGGCGAAAAGTGCCAAGTTGCATGTCGAGTGATAACAAGGGACTTTTGTAGCAGTACACTTGTTGGTACATACTGTACCAATGGAAAGTAGAAATTTTATTGATTTAAGTTGTAACTGTCCATGAGCAATATGGATGCTAGATAGCTTGGATGTATTACAGTGAGAACTCTCACGGTGATATGTGTTTGTTGTCTCTGACACAAGTACAACTTAAACGGCTCGTTTCACGCAGGACTCTATTTAACATCACAGCAAAAATCAATTCCGAAATCCTACTCAA